ATCTACAGGCCACAACAATTCATATCGAAACACAAAGCGGCTATTAAAGCCTAGTATACTGCCCACCGCGCTTCTCCTTTTCAGAGGCAGAATTTGTACATTTCTTCGACCTACTAGGGGACCGCTTCATAGCAGCTGGTGAGTACAATGCCAAACACACACATTGGGGATCCCGACTCATCAATCCAAAAGGAAGACAACTATATAACACTATAATAACCCCACGAAACAAGCTTCACTTTATTTCTCCAAAGAAGCAACCAGACTTGATTGATTTTGCTATTACAAGAAGAGTACCACAGGCTCAGATTTGTGTGGAGTACTTAACAGACCTATCATCGGATCACTCGCCAATCCTTCTTCACCTTTATGTTCCCATATTGAAGGCTGCCTAAACATTAATTGTAAAGATGACAGAGATACCTCAGTTAAAGCATTAGTGTCTGTAATGTTACTGGCGGCAAAACATTCCACTCCATAAATCACAGCTTATAAACCTTACAAAAGCAGTCGTGTTCCCAGGCATATTGAAGAACTGCTACGAAATAAGAGAAGGCTTCCGCGGGAGTGGCAAGTTCACAGATCACCTGACTCAAAGGAGCGGTTAAAAATGGCCAACCATCTACTACGCAAAGCCCGAGAAGATGAGAAACACCGAGCTCAAATGGACTATATGGAGCAACTCTTCCCAAACAGCAAACGATTCCCATTATGAAAAGCTAAATCAGGTGTATGTCCACCAATCGAGAGTGAATCACCATTACGTACACCATTACTCGCAGCAACGAAGAGAAGGCAAATCTATTTGCCGCCCATTTAGAAAACGTCTTCAAACCACATCCAGAAACAAATAGCTTTGTGCTCCCACTAACCTTCGCATTTCAAGCAGAACAAGTTATGGATCACAATGATCCACAAAGCCGGAAAGTACAAGTCTCAGCCATCATCATATAGACCTATCTGTCTCCTGCCGTGCCTATCGAAGATATTCGAAAAACTGCTCCTGAATCGCATCAAAAAGCACCTACACAACAGTGCAATCCCAAATCACCAATTTGGTGAACATCCAGAACATCCATAAAATACTGGAGTCATACAGCAAAGAAGTTTCGCAGTTATATGCAAAGATTTCCTCTCGGAATACCATCCAAGCAGGTGTACCCCAACGGAGCTTGCTTGGACCGACACTGTATATCATATACACAGCAGATTTACCGACAAACATTCACACAACCATTTCGACATTTGCTGATGATACTGCCATCCTATGTCGTTCCAAGTGCCCAACAAGAGCTACAGAACTCTTATCATCACACCTCGTGGCCATAGAAGAATGGCTAGCAAACTGGCGCATACATGTAAACGAGCAAAATATTCCACAAAAAACCAAAGTAACATACCTTGGTGTCCATTTGGATAGACAGTTTACTTGGCGCAAACACATCATAACCGTCCGTTCCCCACTAAAACTGGAGTACAAAGTACTCTTGTACAATGCAGCTCTCAAACCAATTTGGACATACGGCTCTGAAGTATGGGGAAACGCTTCCATTAGTAATTTAGAGTTAACCGATAGAGCTCAATCGAAGATCCTGAGAACCATCACTGGGGCACCCAGGTACATACGGAGTGAAAATATCCGGAAAGATTTAAATGTGGGATCCGTTAAAGATGATATCGCCAAGGTGAAAGCAAAGTACCAGCTTAAGCTTCGGAACCATCCAAATAGACTTGCGCAGAATTTAACTTGGCAGGCTAGCAATACACGACTCCGGCGAAGAGACCTCCCCACCCAGCAATAACAGTTAGGGCCGTAATTTAAATATTTAATTGTAATTAATTAAATACCTAAATTAGATTAAGATTTGACTACTTATCGTAAGTGTCCGAGAGAGAAGATTCGACTAATAAATAAAACATACACATATATGCAAGCATAAATTAAATACATATCGGCATTCTCCTAATTATTCGATTTACAAAGAAAAATTTGTGTATCCATTCACCGTGCATACGGATTCGTGATGCCCATCGATACATGCCCATCTCTAGCACCTCTGCTGATCGCATATTTACAAGCGATTCACCGTTTGTCTTAAAAGGTTGCGTCAGCTTACAACGCTACAAATGTATTCTGAAGAATTCTGGGAGACATTAAGCGTGAAGCTTATTCCGTGAATGTATTCTTGCGATTTACAAAAGCAAAAACACGATTTTTACACTCACAACATTCATATTCAAAAAACACATATGGATAAGTGTTGACCTGTACCATTGAATACATACAATTACGTATAGATATGTATGTATATACATGCATATGAGGATAGATAGCGCCTGCATCAAAAAATAAAATGTACATATGCATGTACATATGTACATATCAGCGTTGCCAGGCGTCCCGATTTCGGTGGGACATCCCGATGTGGAAATAATTAGAAATCTAATTATGCGTTTACCCAACAAAATAATATCTTTGTGGATACCAAGCCATATCAACATTAAAGGTAATGAACTCGCCGAATCAAACGCCAAGTCGGCCTACAAATTTCCTCTCATCACCACAATTAAATACAATACAAACGACATCAACAAACAAGAAAGTAAACCCAAAAAAGACTAACATCCAAAATATCTTGAAGAATTTGCAACACAATGAACTTTCAAGGCTAGACCAAGCCAAAACAGGAGAGAACGCTACAGTCGAGCAAGCCCGACAGTAAAATACCCTGAACTCTCCACAAAAAAGGAAAATTAAAATTATAGGCACCTAGATACCAAGTAGAGTTGGGCACGGGCCGTGTTTTCAGTCGTGGCACTTCATGTTGCAAATTCCGATTTTGTGCGTGGCCGTGCGTGTTCCTGTTGAGGTAAAAAGGCACGACAAAAATACGAATATATAGTAATAAAAAATAGTCAACGCGACTTTTCTTAATTTTTGGAAACTAATGCCAAAAAAATTTTCTGGGCAGGTCAAGAATAGATTTTAAAATATATAACTATATATGTAGTGCTGTTAATCCAGGAATTTGTGTTAAAGTACTGGAAAAAATAAAAATAAAATTGGAATTGCTAAGGCAAATATCAAGACATATTGTTAATATCCAACAAGTGAACGACTTTACTCCACTTCTGGATTAATTTTAAATAAGCGACGAGCTCTGCTTCTCTTAGCTCAAATATAGATGAGTACATATTCTTTAAAAGAAATTCGAAGTGCTTAATATGGATATATTTTTATACTCTGTACATAAAATGTACAAGAGACACCAAACTTTGCACAAAAATGCCTTGTGTGTACGCTGTGCAAGTTTTTTTTTGTTTTGATTTTCCCCCCACTTCTCCCCTATGGGGGTTTTCCCTATTTTCCATTCGTATAATCGCCTATATCTCGGAGACTATAAGACCTAGGAACACCAAATTTTAGTCCCAGATGCCTTATGTGAATACGCAGAAAATGTATATTTTGGAATTTCCCTCCCTCCCCCCTCTACCCCGCAAATCGTAACTCCCGTAATTCTTGGAATCTGGAACTAAAATTTTTCAGATACCCCCAGTTAGTAATTATGTATCCGTATGCCAAGTTTCATCATGATCATTTAATAAGAAGTTATACCAATAAATATATTTGCTGCTGTAGCGCTACTCAAGCGCTGCCCGCGGCTGTTGTTGATGCTGGTGCTTTGGTTGACTGCGAACTTGCTTACACAGACACGAATAGACGCGCATAAACATACATACACTTACATAGACGCAATAACTTTGTATATGTGCAATTATATTCATTACGTGAGTTCGAATATCGAAAGAGGTAAAATCGATCGAAATTTATTTGTTTAATTCTCTTACTTTTTTTAATTTCTATATTTATTCTAAACATATGTACAGAGTATTTCAAAGTCGGGACACACGACTTTAGCTTTTTTACTTGTTTGTTTTTACATTTAATGGTTATAACAGGTTTGTGTTGGGCCGTGTTTAAAAATATTTTCGTCGTGCGTGCGCGTGTGTGTTTCCAAAAGTTAATTTCGTGGCCGTGTCATTTCGGGGCGAAAATAGCCGGCCCATGCCCATCTCTAATACCAAGTTTGGTCATTTTAGCTCTTGTACCTTCTGAGATCCTTGCGCTCATACAGACAGACGAACAGACGGACGCTGTCGACTTGTCTTGTCATCCTGATCAATAATATATATACTTTGTGGGGTCTGCCACGCCTCCTTCTGTGTGTTACATACATTCGCACAAAACTAGTATAGCCTTTTAACCTTTGGGTACAGGCTATAATTATCAAACTAAGACTGGGTCACACAAAGCACACAAACGAACAATACTTAACTAAAAACATCTCCAAATTCTGTCCCCTATGCCAAACAAATAGCCATATAAATATTGAACACTTACTCATTCATTCAAATTTTGTGTCTCTAGATCTTATAGTCACCGAGATATACATATAGTACATAGGTGATTATAAAAATATATAAATGTACATATGTATGTATATGTACACGCCTCTACCACGCGTCCTCCTGCCTGTTACATTTTTCTCCTCCCGTAAATCTAATATACTCTTGTAGATTTCAAGCTTTAAAGGTATGATTTTGATATCGCCAGGACCAAAACAAAAGAAAAAAGTGAAACCGACCTAGTTATTAATTAAAATGCTTCTACAACGTAATTGAAAGCAAAAAAAAAAAAACGTTCAAATTAGCTGTAGTATTAGAATCTCATAAGATGCTGGAGGTTTCGTAATTACATACATATGTATGTATGTATATGGACTTCCGTCCATGGTGATATTCATTATTGGTGTCCCACGTCATCTCATATTTGCTTATGTAATTACATTTGTGTGTATGAAAATATATATGTATATGCATACGATGTACGTGTACACAAAATACATGCGAATGTACTAATTTACACATGTAAATGAAGATACATATATACATACATATGTATGTATATCTTTTGGCTAAAAGATATGCATTTTACTTACGTTTCCACTATCTGAATATCTTGAAATTTAGATTTTTCTTTATGAAGAACCTCTTTTATTTTTAAAGAAAACATTTGCCCCGGCCATAATTCATCCTGAATTTCACTAAACCAATTATTTTTAATAAAGTTCATTATGGTTAATGAATGTATATTTGCCGGCTACCTAATGTCGATTGATCAACATGTGGTTGTCTTCTTCTTTGCTTTTAACAGTTACAGCGAAAAAATATAAATTGAAATTCACGAAAACTCACGAGATAACTGTCGTTTGACAAGGATTTTAAGCAGTTTTTTAAAATTCGCATTTCAAATTTTCATGTAACCCTGTTGTGTAAATACACAAAGAAATGCTGCATACAACTGATTCAATAATATTATTAATTCTACTGTAATCCAAATTTACTTATTGTTCATAATAACAATATACGAATGTTTGTTTGTGGATAAACAGCGTTCCAAAAAATTCCTTGCTCCAAAGTCAAGGCTAGACAATCAGCTCTGTGTTCTAAATCTTTTAATATCATTTAATAAGCTGATTGCTGACATAAACAAATAAGGAATAATTTCCCTACCCTCATTTAATTTAAAACGTTCTTAGACGGCTGCATTTTTTTTACAACTCAGCTAGGGATGAGCGGATATATGGCATTATCGATATATTGCTATTTTTAATACGATATATCTTCTCATCTGTACATTATGTTTCCTTCCCGCTTTTTAATTAATTTATGGAGCTTGTTTGGTTAGCTTTTGTGTACATACATACTTAAATATTTATAGATTTTTTTCTAGGTTTATTACAGAATAATCCAAAGCAAGCCAAAACATGGCAATTCTTCCCCAAATGTATTCAGTTTCTGTCAACCAATATAACGCTCATTTCAAAATGAAGCACAAAAGCGGCACAATTGAGTCGGCGTTAAACAATCAAACAACGCCCTTGGATAAATGGATATGCGTGTATAATCGTTTAAATCAGTAAATATGACTGATTCGAATTGCAAACAACTGCTTTTTATACTCTGCACATAAAATGCACAAGATTATATTAGGTGTGCGCGAGCTCCAAAGGGGGGAAAACAGGCTCCAACGTTTGTATGAAAAAGTTTTTACAGTTTTCATCTGATTAACTTCAAACTTAGTTTGTATACTCTCAGAACAATTCCAAGAAAAACTGTATACTTGGTTTTTTTAATTTTTTGTTGGAGCTTGAATTATTGGGGTTTTCTTGGGGCACAAAAGGAAACCGCGTCAACAGCCCACAGCCCACACGGTAAATGCTAGGATGCTGAAATTTGGTCTCAAGTATCCTATCATGGTGTAGATGCGCACTAAGAACGGATTTTGGAAAATTCGAGCTCCAAAGGGGGAAAAGTAGCTCCAAAGTTTGTTTGAAAAATCCGCATTTTTCAACCGATCGACTTAAAACTTAGTTTCGAAATTTGTTGGAGCTTGAATTATTGGGGTTTTAATATTTATTCACTATTTCAAATGAAAAGTTTGTGTTATAAATTTAGTCCGATCGATTTAAAATTTGAGTAATGTAATCTACGTAACTAAATCTACAACTTTGCATTCAAGGATTTTCAAAATATGCATTTTACAAAAGCAGGTAGAACAAACAATACAAAATATCAAACAGTTGGGGACAACTAAGTATACATACACACACACACACACACACACACATGCAAGCAGTTGCGTGCAAACGATTGAAATAGCCAAAGCAAAATGTGAAACACTAATGTGTGAATGTCCATACATACATATGTGCACATCTATGTATGTACATACATATGTATCTACATATGTATGTATGTACATTCGTCTTGCACTGACAGAGCAAGAAATGTTTATTAATTGAAAATTATATAACATTTTTAAAAGTAATTTTTTCTTTGTTTAGTGCATTTGGCATTAGGGTTTTCATTAATAACTTTATGCAGCAACAACAAATATCAAATAGTTGGGGACATCACATACACATACACACACACAGCAAGCAACAGCTCGTGTCTATTTGTTCGGTTCTCTACGTACGGTTGAAAATGTAAAGAGAAACATACATATGTATGTATGTATGTATGTATGCCTGTGTATGAATATAGCATGTATGTACATTCGTATTAATGTATACATTGGGCATTCGAACACAGTTGTTTGATTGTAAAAAAAATAATGCTCTAAAAACAACAACAACTGCAAGTCATTGGCTCGCTCTTCTTTCGTTTTGAGCCTTTAATGTTAATTGCAAAGGCAAAACGCCAAAAGTTTACAGTTACCGTCGCTAGGCAACGACTGCGTAAGCGATAGTAAAGCAGAAACCGAATAACGGAGCTACGCATATTCTGCTTCGCATTGCGGGCAGATGTTTGTATGTATGTGATTTGTTCTTATTGATGTCAATAAATAATTAGATTTTGTTATTTAAATATTCTGCTTATTGCATTCAAACTTCGATATTTTGATGGTATCGGTGGCTTCAACTATCGAAAGTTTTACTCTAGCAAATTGAGATAAGAATTGTCAGTGCTTTTTGATCGTGGCTCATCGCTGCTCGGCATTGACACGAGTGCCGTGTTTCATATTCCGAGGTTGTGCGTGACCGTATTGACTCAATATGGCACGAAAAGGCTCAAATGTGAATTTAAAATTAGGATATACCCTTATAATTATTCTCCCTTTTTTGCAAATCGTCTATCTTAAAACGTTGCGTTATCTCTATATATAAAACAGTTTGTCCTGACTAATTGGTGATCAACGCACAGCCCAAACGGTAGAAGATGAAATTTGGACTCAAGTATCCTTTCATAGTATCTATCATAGTGAAGCAGCACACTAAGTCTTTTGAAAAATTCTAGCTCCAAAGGGGGGAAAACGAGCTTTAAAAAATATTAGTTATAGTGGTCATGTTCGTGTAACGAAATAGTTTGGCAAGAACAAAAATGTAACGGACTACTGAACAATTTTTTGTCAAGAACAGAAAATGTTAATTTAAATACCTTAAATGCCTTCCTACTGGTAACTTATAAGGTGAAAACATATGGGTAGGTTATACACACACAAAATAAATATAATTGGAAACATTATATTGAGCCGGGTTAAGACGGGCAATACCTGCTAGTAACTAATATTTTTTAGTTTTAGAGTTTTCCAAAAGCCTTTCTTAGTACGCACTTACACTGTGATGGATACTATGAAAGGATACTTGAGTCCAAATTTCAGCTTCCTAGCTTTTACCGTTTGGACTGTTGACGCGGTTTCCTTTTGTGTCCCAACCTTTTTTTTTACAGGAAAACTCCCATATTTCAGGCCCCAAGAAAAATTTCAAAAAACCAAGTATTCAGTTTTTCTTGGAATTGTTCTGAGTATACAAACTGTTTGAAGTTGATTAGATGAAAATTGTAAATTTTTATTTAGTCAGAATTTTCCAAAATCCCTTAGTGGGCACCTACACTATGAAAGGATACTTGAGTCTACATTTCAGCTTCTACCCTTTGGACTGTGCGCTGATCACCAATCAGTCAGGACGCACTGTTTTATATATATAGATGTACATAAGGGATCTTAGGCTAAAATTTGGTGTCCCTAGGTCTTAGTCTTTAATTACAAAAAAACCTCCATTATCGGTAAAAAAAAAACTTGCAAAGCGTAAAGGGACTTTAGTGCAGATGTTCATACGAACAAGCAGACAGGCGTAGTCCGACTTGTCATGCTAATCAAGAATATACAAGCCTAATATAATACTTGCATATTTTATGTACAGCGTATAAAAAAAAGAAACGCTCGCTGTGAAATACATAAATACAATTTACATATAATATGTTTTATTTCATATTTATGTATACATAAGCAATTGTCAAAATGTTACAAGAGTATACATTTAACGCTTTCTATGCATATGTTCACGATTCTTGCGTTTCCAGGCGGCACGTCTAGAGCCACCAATTGTCTGCGAGTATCTGTATCCTTTGCCAATGCCACGGGAGCTCTTGCCGGCAGAGGTAAGACCACGAAGCTCGCGATGTTTGTGTACATGCTTACATATCCAGTTAATTTTGGCATCGCGTCGGATAGCGTTATGGTGAGTATCAACTAAGATAACTTCAAAGTATTTATATGAAGCATCTTGAGCAACCCAATATGAGTTAAGAACACGCAGACCACCAAGGCGACGACCGACACGCTCCTAAATCGGAAATTAAAAACAATTATTGCATATTCTTATATTGAATATTATAAAGGAATTTAGTTTTTCAGACATCTAAGGAAGGAAAATCGTTGTCAACAAAACTGTTATGATAAATATTTTAATCATCATGTATTTTTAAAATTTTTTCACAAGGTGTATAAAGTCAGTTGCCAATGTTAAGACGACTGCATACACAGTGCAGTTAAAACTACTTACTTCTGCAATAGACTGCAATCCACGGTATGGCTTTAGTTGATTGACACCATGACTTTTTGGCTTGCCATACGTACAACCCTTAGGCACAGGGCGTTTACGGCCTCCACGACGGACACGAATTCTATAAATTACGAAGCCTTGCTTGGCGCGATATCCCAATCGACGAGCTTTATCCGGGCGGGTTGGTCTAGGCGACCTATGCAGCTTCGTTAATTGGCGATATTGCCAAACACGGATTCGAAGCAGATAGCGCATAACATCACTCTGCTTCTTCCTATAGAGTTCCTGCATATACCGGTACGCACCCATTTCGGAGGTTTGATAGACCTAGTAACAAATTAGTTTCTACTTTGAATAACTGTCACATCATCGGTCTGTCAAAAATATATATTTTTTACACGCGTTTGGCTTTAACATATTGTTGTCTAAAAGTATTTTTTGTTAACATTATGCAAAAAGAACGTTTTGGTTGTGAATAGTTCAGAAAATCCATAATCTGCACTTGACCGGTAATGCCTTAAGAGTGGTGCATGGATGCTATCATCATAAGTATTTACAAACTGCGCACGCAAGTTGTACGATAGTTCTTGCGTATAATCACTTACCTAAAATAATATAATTATATATTAATACATTTAATGTCGGCGTAAATTATTAAGCAGTTCTGATTATTTCCTACTCTGATGCAAGTTGCAACTCGGATTAAACATTTTCTACCCACCTTCAAACCTGGTTAAGTTCCAAAAGACGGAAATAAGAGAAGTTAGCTGCGAAGTAAATTTATCGCAGCATAGTTGCTTCTTATTTTGAGATCGGATGAAATAACGAAGAATTTAATTTATCGAATCCTTATCAATAGATTCGATTTATTCAGACCTGTTCTATAAGGTGTACCATTCCCAGGGCTGCCACTTTAGCTTTTTCCCGTCAAATCCGGCTGTTTTTAAGGCCTGTTGCGGCAAAATATTGGAAATTGAGGGAAGCAGGAATTCTTTTTTTTAATGTTGTCACCAGTCATATAAACACTATAAAGATCTGCAGTTCATCATTATCTTTATCGATATTTGCCAATACCTCCACTAGTTTAAGGCAAATTATCATCTCAATACCAATAATGCGCGCCAATAGTTAAATGTAAAATTTTAACACTGTGAAAATTAAAAATAGTATATACGATATTGTTACACGACTTTATTCCATTTAGCAAGATTAAAAAAAAGCACAAATTGAATAAATAAAATGACTTTGACGAGCATAGGGTATACTGCAGCTATTGCAAGAATACTATCACATCCAAGCTTAGTGATCTGCGCGCTCATGCAACAACAAAGAAGCACACACGTGGAATAAGCTGTTTATTCAAAACAAAAAAAAGACAGTCAGTTTGCCTGACAAAACTATACCGCTTTGACTACCAATTGCCTAATAATTATTTACGCATGATTATTACGACCATGACGCACGAATGCGAACCTCGCTGAACCGAATGAGTTAATGTAAATATCACCTTACAACAAAAAATGTTTTAAAGCCATAACCGCTTTTTTAGGTATTTTTCTGTCAATTTTCGGCAATTTTGCCATTCCACTTAGAAACAGTTTTTTTTCAGTTAAAAAAATGGCAGCACTGATCATAGGGATGTAAGAAACCGATGCATAGATGTTTTTTTGCTTGCGATCCAAACATCGAACATTTTTAATGTTTTGTTAATCGGTTATTATATCTGTGGGTAGAAACTCTGGTGGTTTCGGGTACAGTTGTTTTTTAAAACTCCCGAAAAATACGTCGTTACCACAGAAATTCGAATGATTTAATTTTTTCACACTTCCCTTCCAAGCCAGCTGTCAGCAACAGTTGACTATCGACGCTCACATTTCACTGGCTAATTCTGTAAAAATCCGGTAACGCACTCAGCAACAGCTGTCTGTCGACGATTACATTTGACTGACTAATTGTGTTTAAATTCTTTAACGTACTAAGTTAAATAAAAAACAAATATGCCATTTGCATTAATATTAGCCCGCGAGCATTTGCGATAACGCCAATTAATTGTTGCAAAAATACAACACATACATATATTTAAGAAACGCATCTGATCCCACAAAAGAATGTTGCGGATTAAGAATTAAATTCATTTGTAACATTTTTTGTAAAATCATTTGTTTTGAGCAGTTACGGGGCTTACTTCCATAAATTGGACAAAAATTGCTTCCGGTTGTTTTGCAAAAATTAGCATTTGAAATTGAATTCAGAAATTACAAAAATGTACTTACATTTTTTTTCCCTGGTCCGTATTGTGTATTCAAATGGCAGTTTAGGACCATTAATATTTTCGCAAACACACAGACTTGCCCAATCGGCGACACACAATTTTCGCCAAGTTTGTTAAAATAATACACAGTTATGTGGTACTTATTATACTCTGTACATGAAATGTATATTAGGTTTGCGGGAGCTGAAAAATGTAACAGGCAGAAGGAGGCGTGGCAGACCCCACAAAGTATATATATTCTTGATCAGCGTAACAAGACGAGTCGATCTAGCCCTGTCTGTCTGTCCGTCCGTATGAACACCTGTGGGGGTTTTCCCGATTTTCCATTCCATTATAATCGTCTATATCTCGGAGACTATAAGACCTAGGAGCATCAAATTTTAGACAAGATGCCTTATGTAAATACGCCCAAAATTTTTGGAATTTCTCTTTCTCCCCCCTCTCCACAGCAAATCGTGATTTTCTCTTCCTCCCGTAATTCTTGGAATTTCGAAATCAAATTTTGCAAATACTCCCAGTTAATGATTATGTGTCCGTACGCCAAGTTGTTGATGCTGGTGCTTTGGTTGACTGCAAACATGTTCACACAGACACGAATAGACGCGCATAGACATTCATACACTCATATAGACTCAATTGCTTTGTATATGTGCAATTATACACCCTTTACGTGAGTTCGAATACCGAGAGAGGTAAAATCGATCACCTTTTTTTTTTTAATTTTATAATTTTTTTAATTTCTATAATTATTCTACTTGTAAACAAATGTACAGAGTATTTCAAAGTCGGGACATCCGACTTTAGCTTCTCTACTTATTTGTAATGCGTTTACGACTGGCTTGAATAGCTTGTGTCGCAGGTGTACAAAATAATTAAATAGGTGCTGAACGCGCTCGTTGAACAGTTCAAGCTGCTCGTCAAGATATTGCTGTTAAAGTCTTCAGCCAGGACAATATTGTTGTGTTTTAAAAACACGGAATAAAAGGATGTTGCATCGGACTGGGCACAAAACAGAAAGGTGGCAGCGCTACGGAAGGCGCCGAAAATTTAGAAAGTTACTGCAGCGCCATCTAGCGGTACCAAACAAGGCACCGGGGTGGCAACTGCAGTCGCACAGGCGCAGGGTTGCGTCCCGATGGCACCCCAAAGTAGGGAAACGCCAATGCCGTGATGAACGGATGCGCAAGGACATAGAAATCCGCAGCGAAACGACATCCGGCCTATAAAAGGCAAGCCGCAACACGCCATTCCTGTTTTTGGGGCGACCTTTATATGAGCTGCATCTGAAGGGTCCCACGCGCCGCACCAAATCGTTGTCTAACGAAGAAGAGAAGATAACCTTAATATATACATTTAATTGAAACAAATACAAAAGAGGCAGAAAGCAGCGCCAAAACGGAGCTTGGCGCTCCGTAATAAATAAAAAAAGAAAACAGAAATACATATATACACTTAGGAAGCACTCATAGAGATTTAAAATAAACGACTTCCTGTAAAGGAAGATTGCCAATTGCAGTAGCGCGCAATGTTTTACATGTAGTCTATTATTTCTATTGCGCCCATGACCGTCGAGAGCTCTCGTTAGGGTTTTGCTATACATATTTATATAATTTTTTTTTATATTCTTGTTCACTGTTTACATTGTTTGCACCTCACACTCAATCACACTCAAATATATGTATGTTTGTCGCCACATAAACTGAAAATTAATTGTTAATTTTAATGGTCGCACCGTTCATGATGATGCATTAAAGCAGCATCAGTAGGGGCGGGAGACTCACCTGTGCCATGGAATAGCCCAAGCACGGCCCAATGTTAGGGTATCCAATAAAAATGTTGCCTTTGGATACAGGCAGGGTGGGTACGCCTGAGATATTTCCAGCTGCATCCCATACAGTTGTCTGGTGCCACCAATTCCTGTCCGTCCGCACATACAGATGTAGTTCCTTTTGTTTTTTTGAGTCCGTATCCGTGTAGATCCGTTTCTTTTTGTTGCATTAGTGTTTCTTTTGTGTCATGTTAGTTATTTTTGGTTTGTTTACATTTTGAATTTTGTTTGTTATTGCGCGTGGAATTAATTGTAAGTGATGGCATTTTGGTTAAAATCGATGGAGGAACCGTGTTATCGGTTATTGTGCGACTCACGCGGGCATAGGGTTGGAACCACACACCCAACGAGAATTCTGATGAGCCAGCCGGCGTTGCCCAAGGGAAAAGCGTAGTCATAACAATATGGCGCCCATACTTATGGTTGAATTTTGAATGCCAAGGAGTAGGTGGAGTTGTTTAGGGCCCTGTACCACTTTTGGGGAGGAGTCTAGGCAGCCGCCGTACGCAGGCTGAAAATTTTGATAGAAAAAAAAAAAACAAATGAAGTCGATGGCTGGGTGCGCTCGATCGGTTTGGTAGGGACGGAATCCCGTATAGCACCAATTGCAAGCATGTGTGACGTGGACAGTATGTCACGAAGGTGCGGATGTAAGCCCCGTTTGCGACTGCCATATGGAACGATGCTAGGCAATGTGTGCTATAAGGGGATTCCAATGCGCTTTTCGTTTCTGTGTTCTTTGTTGTATTTCTTACGTCAATTCGTTGGTGTACTGTCGCTGTGGTGTCATCGTGTTTGCCTGGTGGACGTAGAGTACCGGTGGCCCAGGATGACAAGGAAAGACGCCTGCGATGCACCGCTACGCACAGTGAGCCAGAGCAGATGGTGCACATAACAGAAGTGGGTGTCAAGAAGCAACCATTTAATTTGTTGGTTGTCGTTTAACGCCGTCAAGGCGATACATGTAGCAGCGAACAAATATTGCAGGACAGTGGCGTAGGGCAGCTGTAACAGGCGTAGATATTATAGGAGCCGTGTTTGGGTTCCGGCTGAGTGTGAGTCTCAGCCCCTATATACAGAAGTTCAAAAGAAAATTTTTTTTATTTATTGCTTACATTTTATGAAGTTTTTTTGGTTACGACATACATATATACAATTATCAAATTAATACGAATTTTGCTTCGGGGCCTGCTTGAAACCTGAACAAATTTATAATCTAAATTACAAATAAATATTATAAAAGGAAACAGAGCGATTTTAAATTTAACATGGAGAAGGATTCTGCGCGTGCGTATAACACCAGGTCGAGAACAGCCAGAAATGAGGATCTGGAAGAACACCTTGAAGGAGCCGTGGGATTTTCCACCGGTGGCCTCATGCACACTCCTCCGAGGCCGTCCATAGCACCAGCAGTACACTGGGACGCCGAGCCAGTAGTCGCGTCGGCGGTAGAAG